CAGATTTGGATGGTTTTTTTTTTTTTTTTTTTTCCTGATTGGTCGACAGACCGCCGACCGGTCGGCCCTGCACCAGCGGGCCTAGCTCAGTTGGTCCACCCCTGAACTCAGTGAACTGTTGAAATACAGACTCAAGCTCAAACCCAGATACCTTCAGATGAAGACAATAAAATCATTCTGAATTGCCTGGGGCCGGTCAGTTGAATGATGATATCTGGAGGTCGTCGCCCTTTTAAAAACAAAAAAAAAGGGTTGCCTTTTTATTGCCTACCACCTCATGAAGCCCAATTGACAAAGAGATGTCCCCTGTCTGCAGCTTGCCTCCTTATTATTTTTTTCGATCAAGGACGTCTGCGATACCGCACAGGACTACTTTTTAATTATTAACTGTCAACCTTCAGACAATCAAGATCTGAAGGGAGAATGTGGCCGCCTTTTCACCCCCTACCACCTCATGCAGCCCGATTCAAAAGGGACATCCCCTGTCTGATGGTAGTACCACTAATTAGTTCTCCGATACCCCTCCCCACAACACCCAGGAACTCTTTCTAACCAGCAAATCCCGGGGTTTGCACGATCCACAAGGCCGCGCTGCTGCCCGTTCCGTGAGAAACTGGCCCAATCAGGGTTGTCAACCCCCGGCCCCGGACCCCCGCCGGGGGTGGGCACCCCGAACCCTGGCTCCGGACCCCCCCAAAAAAAAATCAAAAAAAAAAAGTGGGGGGTGCGCAGCGCGAGCCTGCTCCCCGTGGCCCCACCCTGCAAAAATGCATTTCTACCCCACCTCGGGGGTCCCCCGGGGCCACGCCCACCGCTGGGGAGACCAGGGTGGCCCTGGGGGCCGGGGAAGGCTGGTGGTGGGCATGGGGTTGCGGGCCGGGGGCGGGGGCGGGGGTGGGGGAGGGGGGAGGGGCAGGTGCAGGTGGGCGCAGGGGTCAGGGACCCCTGGGGCCGGGAGTCAGGGCTGGGTGCGGGGGTCAGGGACCCCTGGGGCCGGGAGTCCGGGCTGGGCGCATGTCAATGACCCCCGGGGGCCGGGAATCGGGGGTGGGCACGGGGGTAGGGGATCATTAACCCCCGGGGCTGGGGTCGGGGGTGGGCGCAGGGGTCAAAGACCCCTTGGGCCAGGTGTCGGGGTTGGGTGCAGGGGCTGTCTCTTATACACATCTAGATGTGTATAAGAGACAGGGGTGGGGGTGGGCGCAGGGGTCAAAGACCCCTTGGGCCAGGTGTCGGGGTTGGGTGCAGGGGTCAGGGACCCCTGGGGCCAGGGGTCCGGGCTGGGCGCATGTCAATGACCCCCGGGGGCCGGGAATCGGGGGTGGGCACGGGGGTAGGGGATCATTAACCCCCGGGGCTGGGGTCGGGGGTGGGCGCAGGGGTCAAAGACCCCTTGGGCCAGGTGTCGGGGTTGGGTGCAGGGGTCAGGGACCCCTGGGGCCAGGGGTCCAGGTGGGGGCGGGGTGCGGGGGSRGGGKTRGRGGGGSGGGGGCGGGGGTCCAGGGTGCAGGGGCAGGGTGAGGATGCAGGGGTTGGGACAGGGGKGGGGGTGGGGGTTGATACATGCTCAATCGAGCATGGAGCCAAGGACCCGCAAAGTGATGAAAAGGACTCGTATGGACAATGCAGTGTCAGCAGAGCATCAACCAGCAATGTACCTCTAGAAAATAGCACAAAGTAGGACAACGGAAGACTCAAAGATATGACCTGACCGATCAGATACTGACACGACCTCCCATCATACATCACACATGTGAGAGGAAGAGGAGGGACCGCATACATGGAAGAAAGGTCCCTCCTCGTACACACACATGGGGAAGATACCACGGATGAGAGATGGGGGGAGAGGCAGGACGAAGATGGAAGTGAGGAAGAAGACCAAGATCGCGATAGCGAAGTCCAGAAATAGCCTCCCTGCAGAATGTCCAATCAATGTCTGCGAATCAGATCCTGGGCCAATGCCCGATGTAACCTCTGCCTGTAACCTCTCTATCTCTCTCTCTCTGAAAGAAGGAGGAGGAGAAAGGAGCGAGAAGAGATGGAGGGCAAGACAAGAAGAAGAAAGTGTCGTCCTCCTCGCTGTCTCACCTGCAGGTAACTGCCTCCATGTACTAACTGCCGTCGTGGGCCTGTGCAGGTCGCCGGCGTGGAGCACGGCTATGGCGCCCAGGTAAGTACTGCCGAAGCAGGTATGGCCTCCGCCCCTCTGCCTGCCTACACCTCTACCTCTACCCCAGCATAGCGCGGTAGCGCTGTAACCCTGGTTCAGCAGCGTGTCGCCCAAAGAAGTGGGCTACTCCAACTGTCCGTCTGTCCTGGCCTGGCCCAGCTATAAGTATGCTGGGCCTCGTCTGGTCCTAGGCCAAAAACGTGGCCTACTGGGTCTGGGTTCCGACCGGACGTCCAGACCCTGCCCGCTGATGCAGCAGGGACGTCAGTAACTGGACGAGCACGAACCCGGCCTCAAAGGGCCCTGCCTCCTGGTGTACCCAGCCCAAGGCACAGCCTTGGGGACTGCAAGTCCGAAACCATGCCTGAACAGACAAAAATAAGACAGCAAACAAATAAATAAATATTACATAAATGAATGCTGTCGTAAATCAAATCCTGCCCCTGGGGGCCGCCGTGGGCCTCCAGGGTGCGCGTCAAAAGGACACGCGGCCTGGGGGCCCCTCAGCAACCGCCGGGCCCCTGAAGTGGGCCCCGTGTGCAGGCGCAGCATGTAACAGGGTCCAGGAGTCAAACCCACACCTTGGTTCGGCCCCTGGGGATCCCCGCCTGACAACACCCGATCACTCGCCAGGATGGATCGATAAAATAAACAACAGTTGGCGGTTGGATCAAATGCAACCATGACCATATCCTATATCACCAACTTTCTAAAACGCCCTGAAATCTATGAAGACGAAAGGATCACAAATGCAGACTCATCAACGCATGCAAAGTTCACCACAAATCTACATTTGCTTCCAAAACGCCCAACACATATGCGTGTGGGATAATCGCACTTGCACTTAATCCAACGGTTCCATCGGCTGAGCAATACACTATGCCAGCAGAGGGTCGTGAGTATATGATTCCTGGTGGATGAACTTTGACTATTGATTAATCCAAATTCATCTGCACGGAACCACATTGCAAAGCTTCAGCACAAAAGACACTAAAGTCTGATAAACATTCGAGCAATCGCGGTGTTAGCTTATAGGCCGTAGCAGGCACACATCCAGCATCAGAAAAAAAGGTTGACCGGACCATTTTCCAACCTCAACAGGCGATAAGGGACTGCACCAGTCACAGCAGAGCTCATAGTTTCCTATGCACACATAACTAATAGCATGGTCGTTGGGGCATCTTGCCTGGAAAAAAAAAAAAAGGATAAAAGAAAAAATGGTGTTCCCCGCAAGAGCATTTTTAACCTTTGACTGGACTGCCCTGGCAAATTCATTCATACAAATCTTTTGCCCCAAACCAAAGAGGCTTGAGCTTTGCAGTTGCAATTGCAAGAGCACACTGAAGGATCTCTCTCTCTCTCTCTCTCTCTCTCTCTCTCTCTCTCTCTCTCTCTCTCTCTCTCTCTCTCTCTCTCCCTCCCTCCCTCCGTTCCTCCCCCCCCTCTCTCTCTCTCTCTCTCTCTCTCTCCCTCCCTCCATCCCTCCCTCCCTCCTTCCCTCTTTCCCTCTTTCCCTCTTTCCTTCCTTCCCTCCCTCCCTTCCTCTTTCAGCGGTGTTGTGCGTGATTTATTCTTCATTCTAATTATGAGTAGTCTACAAGAAAACTAGGAAAATAGATAAAGAATACAAGACGTGGAGAGGTCCGTTCACACTCGGCCCAAAACCAAA